TTTATTTTGAGATAATTTAATTAAATATTTCAATCCAATCGTGTTATTCATAATTCAAGAAAAGGTATTTAATTGTTGATCAGGAGTAAAAGGAAAGACCATTTCATTTTTCAAAAAAAGTGAAGTCAGAGTTTCAGGTATTGTGATGAACAAATCTTATTCAAAATGCCTAAAAATAAGAAATACCAGATAATAGTAATGTTATTCATGGTTTTTTAGAACGTAATTGCTATAAAAAACCATAAAAAGCTATTTCAGAAAAACATTTCATACTTACTTGCTCAAATTATTGCAAGAAACAGCAAAACTTGATAACTGATACCCTACGAATTCACCAAATGAAAAATCTTTTTCACTGTCTCACAGAGAATGATTTTTTTGACTGAGAAAATTTTCTCATTTCCGTACCTACCATAACCAAAGCACATTATTGAGAAATTCTTCAAGATCTTGTTTTTTTGTCATCTTACGCCTTTTAATGAAGATGGGAACATTGACAGGGAAATAGATTTGAACGAAAAAGTTTCGTAAAGAGAGCAAACAGTAGTGTGATGTAAAATTAGTCATGCTAGAAATTTTCATAAAAGTGACCCAAAAAACTGTGCTAACTTGGTAACTCGTGGCCCAATTTTAACAAAACTTGTTTTATTCTGTTTCTATTCTCATTTCAAGGGGTACTGTATTCTTACAAATATGGTGCTATTGTGTGCCGTTTTTGCTGTATTTAATTACAGATAAGCAAATAAACAAATAATCTCAGAGTTTTAGTAGATAGATAGATGTATGTGATACTTTCGTAAGTCAGCAGAACACCTAACTGCTACATTCAATGGCATGTTGTTTCTATTTAATGCTTCACAAACCAAACTAGCTTATGAAAATTACAGTAGTGTCAAATTCATTTTCAATTATCAACGCAGTTGGCAAAAGTATTTTAATGTAACTATGGTTTACATATCACACACTGTACGTTTAATTAGCTTGTATGTTGTTTAATAATAAACATCTTAAAGTTGTTGCGCTTATGTTGCAATCTATTGATGAAATAGGGAAATAGATTTGAATGAAGAAGTTTCGTAAAGAGCGCGAACGGTAGTGTGATGAGTAAAATTACTCATGCTAGAAACTTTCCTAAGAGTTATCCGAAAAACGGCGCTAACTTGGTAAACTGTGGTTTGATTTTCACGAAACTTGTTTTATTCTGTTTCTATTCTCATATTCTATTCATATTTCTATTCTCATATTGTGCGCCCTTTTTGCTGTATTTAATTACAGACAAGCAAACAATCTCAGAGTTTTAGTGGTATATAGATAGATAGATTATATAGATATCCCAAGTTAAAACAATATGTTAAGAAAAAAAAAGGTCTTTCTTCACAAAGTTACAGATGATCTATAGGTCATGACATATTAGCCTACAAGCACAAATATATTAGATTATCCAGAATTGTTTCCAGAAAAGTTTACAACGGTACATAGGAAATGTGCAGTTGATTGTGGATGTAAGAAAGTATCTATGCTCTGGATATTGAGTAATCTAATGTTTTCAGAGGTCTGTCTAGTGTAATTAACCTGTTATACTGAGCTATAAGCACTTTAAACTTAAAGTATAAGATCTGCCCAAGTGCCAAATTTTAGTTTCTAATGGAAAAAAAAAGAGCCAATAATTATATTCAGTTTGACATATTTTGAACTACTATACGTTGACTTCCCAGGCATATATGCAATTTAAGATGTATTTGGAAAACAAGACATTAAAAATACTAAAATACACTGTTTATTCTCAATATCAGGTATACAGTACTTTCAGAAGCCAGCATAAAATAAAAAAATATAAAAAGATCTACTCTTACAACCTGAAAATTCTTGAGTGCTATATGTATACCTCATTCTTACATTTTTAACTCTTCTAGAGCATATATTAAGTGGTCTAGTCCAAATCCATTATTCAAATGTATCATGTTTGTCAATAATTAACTATAAATGAGTCAACCTGTTTTAAAAACATAAAAACTAAAGGTGGTAATAACAATAGTGAGATGTCATAATACTGCAGACTTTCACTGCCATTTGTATATATCTGGTGCAAAATATTATCTGTTTAGTAATAAATATTCTGGTATTTATTTAGGGTGAAAACACTTTTGACTAAACATACTAGTGAAGAACTTCCCATACTAATTTTATGATTTTGTTTGACAAAATAATATGGTTACAACAATATCCAGAAGTAACTGATAAATGATCAGTAAGCATTACTGTGAAATACAAGTTACAAAAGGACTGGTACTGTCAATGTAGGTGACCACGTGAATGATCCTCTGAAAGTTTTACAAAATTCACACCCAACTACTCTCCGACTCTGATCCACTTCTTAGATTTTACTATTATTCTTAAAAGTGGATTCTTGTTTTCTGACTTGTATAGGAAACCTATTGATTAACCACAGCAGTTTCACAGTGAAAATTATCATCTCAGTCACACTAAACAAAACCTACAGCCAGGTACTCAGAGCAAGAAAAATCTTTCCTTGTGAAAAAAACAACAACAATATCCTCATTGAAACAAAACATGATTCAAAGAATGCCAAGACACAGAGACTGACCAACAGATTGCTAATTGTGTTGAATGAAATGCTGTTCTTAAAGAAGCAGTTTCTTAGAATAGCTTTATCATCATTTGTTTAGTAATTTTACTTTTATTTTTAGATCTTCTTACCACTTTTAGCCATCTCAAGGTCTTTAATACATTCTAATTTTCCAAGTTAATTTTTGTCTTTAAAATTCTCTAACAAACTACAGCGTAACTTAATCACGAGGTGATTCTTTATAGTCAATGTTTTTTGCATTTTGTTGATAATACATTTTTGTTTGTCTCACGAAAGTGCATTTTTATTGTTTTTGGATGGATTTAGGAGGACTTTTACTATCTAATCCTGACAATGTTTTTCTTTCCAAAAATCTATCACTGATATACAAAGGTCAAAGTGATTTGAGGACCTAAAATGGCTTCAACATGGAAGCTTTGAACACTGACACATTTTTCACCTGAGATTAATTTTCCAAGTATAAGCCAATCTGGTTTTAATGACACATTCATATCCTACAGTAAAAATCAGAAAGATGTTCTTTTAAATTTGATGATGCATGAAAAGTTTTCATTGAAATTTCTGTGTTGAGGTTTCTTTTGACTCTAAGAAAACAGAATTTCTATTGCATGTATACATAACACATAAGAAATCACATATAATCCAAATAAAATATTACATTATTTTGATAAGAAACTGAAAAGGTGTATGTAGTTCCATATATATTTCTAACCTAGCTTTCTGACTGGCTATCTCTTGCCTCTCTTTTTCCTTCTCCTGTTGCTGCTGTTCTATCTTTTTATCCTTTAGTTTTCTTTTCTCCTGTATTTCTTGTAATTTGGCCACTCTTTCTGCTTCCAGTACACGACGCCGTTCCTACAGCACAGAAATAAGCAACTATCATTTTCAAGTTCATTGAGTTGGCAATAATATCAAGTAATGACATTTTAAAATTCATCAAATTTCTCTAATAAACTATCAAAATTTAAGTTGAGATATTAGAAGTTAATAGTATTTATTAGATATTTTAAGTAATAAAAACCTAAGTATCTTTGGGCAAAATGTATCATTATTTATTTTAAAAGAAAACTATTTAGATTAATTTCATCTTTAAACAGTAATTGATGTCGAAATTACATTCAAAAATCAATATTATTATTAAAGCAAGGTCTTTTTTAACATAAAATCTTATAAAAGGCAATAACACTGAATTCCATACAATTACAACACAGTTATATTAAAGAATATTACAAATCATAAAAAGTTATAATGATAGCAAATTCCTTCTTATTTGGCAAAGTTAATACACAATCAAATATTTTTCACACTGACAAAAGCTGTCATTTAAGTAATGCAAGTTATTAATTGAACAATTTGTTCTAGAATTTTTGCAAAAAGCTGCACAAGGACTACCTATACATAACCATCCCTAATTTTGAACTGATAGACTAGAGGGAAGGCAGCTATTCAACAACACCTGCTATTAACTCTTGTCTTACTAATAAACACATCAACAGTCTCAAAGTACAGAGCTCATTTTTATGGCAATGAATTCTTAGATGAATAGTCAGAGTATGCTACAACTAAGCTACCAAGCCCATTGAAGAAAATACAAATTAACATTTGATATAGTTCATATGTTAATTTAAAGGTGGCCTATAACTAAACATAAAATAAATTTCAATGGACTAATAATGGCTGGAGATGGCTTGAATGGTAATGAAGCAAAACTTTAACATAAGTTTAACATAACACCAAGTGTACAACGTTTCGACAAGGTTTTGTCATCATCATAGTTTATATGTTCATTTAATGATGGCCTATAACTGAATATAAAATAATATTTCAATGTAGTTCATATGTTTAGCTTAAAGATGAACTGTAATTAAACACATCTGTACCAATTACATGTGATAAGAACAATCATATTTATATATTTTACTCTAGAACTCCACTTTGCGCTTCTTTTATTTCTAGCACCTTATCCCCACTTTTTTTTTCTAATCTTCCTCATTCACACCTCAAAAGTATGAAAAAAGCAAATAAAGCAGATCTATGGGTATTATTATTACTTCAGCTGCAGCTTCTTTAGCTGCTTTCTCTTCTTGTCTTCTTTGGCGCTCTTCCTGTAACAAAAAAAAAGTCAACTATCAAAAGGATTCTTTTTCTGGTAATTTCATAACAAATTTCTACTGTTTATAAAAAGTCTATGTGATCTTTCAAACATGAAGTTTTAACAACAACTTTTATGGAAGAATCTAGAGATATTAACTCTCTCACTATGGGCTTGGTCAATTCCACCTACAAATTGACCTTTATAGTTTACATACTATAACTTCTAATATGTTTAGGGTATCTACACAAAATTTTGCAAGCTTTCACATAGCATTAAGACATATTTGTAAACAACAAATCAGAATTTTTAAAGAAGTGTTTTTGACTAAACATTTCTATATGAATATATGAAGTCAAATAGTTGACTGCTCTTAGTGCAAAATGATTTTCATGTTAAGATTAAAAATACTTTACTTCATTTGAAAGATCTCAAATTTCATTTGCATAATCTCTAAAACCTCCTAAATAAATTTCAAACGTTTTTTTAGTAAAACTTTTTTATTATCTGTTATTTTCTTTACAGTAACTCTATACCAGGTTTGTCAATTTGACTGAGTTCATACCCACACTGAAAAAAAAAAATTAAAAAATCCAAATTCTCTTTTTTTCCTTCTAGAATGACTTCAAATTGTAATATGAAGCTACACTTGTTTATCCTAAATAGCTTTAAACTCCTAACAGTATAGATCTGCTTATACTTAAATTTTATTGTTTTAATGCCCTTTGAACTGTATATAACTAATATTCCCACCACAAAAATTGTAAATAACATGTCAAATGTGTTGCTCACATTACCCTATACACAAAGCACAAGCTACTTGCGAGTTGCTTGCGAGCTTACCATGTGAAAATTTTTTTTCATTATTATTATTATAATTTATTTTACCTAATTTAACATTATCTAATCTAAAAAGTTTCTAATTCTTCCATTTTATACTTATAATAATAAATAAAGAATATACATAAAATAAAATATTTACCTGGTCTTCTTTTTGTTTTGCTGTCAACTATTGATGACTCTTAACCCTACTATTTTTTATACTTATGGTACTATTGCACTAATAATTTTTTATTTAATTAAATATTGCACCAAAGAACACAGAATAATAACATGCAAAAAGCTGATAATGTGCTATAAGCATCACAATGTTTCTAGACTTTCTAACTATGCAACAAGAGCTATTACAAATTCCCATGGGAATAAAGTTTGAACTGAAAGCAAAATAGACAATTGTTTGTACAGAAAACACATAACATAAAATATATCATTTCGTGAATTAAAACTTTAGCTTTCTATTGGTTATAAGTAATATGGTATTAAACATTAAAGAGTACTACTGGCAATTTGTGAAAGACATGAGGTGATAGGTGGGTGTGGCAAGAGGAGTCTGATTTTCTATTTTACTGCTCTGTAACCAAATAATATTAAAGGCTCAAACATTATGCTTTACCAGAGTGATGACAACATTATAAGGAGTAATTTATATTAAATTTCGTACTTCTGGGAGAGGTGGTAAATAAATTAGTTTGGTTTGAATTTCACACAAAGCTACACGAAGGCTATCTGTGCTAGCCATCCCTAATTTATCAATGATAGAGGAATGACAGCTAGTCAACACCATTGAATTGACAATTTCTGAAAGAGAGAATGTCACAGGTGGCCATGGCAAGAGGGTTTAATTTTCTATTTTAATGGACTGTAACTAAACATGATTATAGGCTATAAAAATTGTGCTTTGCTAGAGTGATGACAACATTATAATGAGTAATTTACATTAAACTTCATTCTTTTTGGGCAGGTGATCTATAAATTAGAGAAGAGGGGATGCCTAGAGAATAAATGTCACAATTCTCATACTATGAGAAATTCAGGATTTTTTAAAAAATACTTATAAAACTAAGAGCTTAAAAACTTATATTCAATTAATATTTGGATTATTAGCTATGTTTTATGCTATATGTATTCATATATCATGATAAGAAAGTATTTTAATTAAATTTTGAATGTAACTCACTGAAACATGCTCAAAAAAAAGATGCCAATAGCAAAAGTGTTAATAAAACTTGCACACATAAATACCTGCATTTCATATGAATAAAACTGAACTCTGAAACAGTTTGATTTAAATACAGATAATATTTTAAAATGGCATTACTGTCTTCAAGATTTGCTGATGTACCTAATAATTTTTGTAAAAATGAAGATGCTAAAAGCTTGAATTATAAATTACTTTGACACATTTAACTGAAGCTAAACTGGTTCCAGAGAAAAGCATCTTTTATCAGATAAGTAAACAAATAAAGACTATAGCACATAGTTCAACCCTTTAACTTTTAAAAATTTATTTTATTTCAGCAATACAGCATGTCTTCTAAAGGTTTTACTTCTTCATTCTTTGTTTAAAACGTCGTAAATTATGTATTGTAATTAATCAAGATAATTGCTAATAAAAAAAAACAGAAAGTGAATCTATTTTACTCTTACAGTGTTTATGAAATCAATAAAATATACAACAGTCATTAAAAAAACTTTAAGGAGGGAGTTTAATGAGAAACACTAAACTAACGGTTCATAGCATTTTTGCCTTTCTGTGGCATGTAAACAAGAGAACAATTACAAAAATGTGTCTAAAATAAAAAATTAAAGCAAACAGTTTTGATTTTCTTTTAATTACTATGTAATAAAACATGCATGAAAAGAAAATATCAAATTTCAATATTTCAGTTTAATTTTTATTTTGGAGTTAATTTGAGGGGTCAGATCTCGTAGAATTTATCAAAATCATTTTTTCTCTGTAAAAACCCAATTGTGGGCTAAAAAGGGTTAAAGATTAAATTAAATAATATTCATTTTTAAAGACAAAAAATAAATGCAGTTTTCGTATAGTTAAAAAAGATCACATAATGGTTAAAATGGGCAGTAGGAAGGTTAGCTATAAATCAAAAGTTTGAACCTATTGGACAATGATTACTAGTCCAATGTCCCTTATAAGATCTTTATCTTAATGATTCAAAGGCAAAAAGCAGAAAAATAAAATATAAAAAAGCATTTTATATACACCATAAATAAATACAGTTAAAAAACAGAAAAAACATTCAACTGTTTACTATTGCGAAAAATAATCCAATTACATGGATTATCACAAACACTGATTAATCCACTTGAATCCAAGAGATCATGTAAGTGTTAAATCTGATAGAAATTTGAAAATCAATGCCAAATTAACTGTATTTTGTTAATATATTTTTTTCCCAAAACTTTAAGCTTACTCATGAATACAACTATAGTTCATAAAGATTGAATTAGGGCAGGTGAAGTGCCAATATTTATTTGAAATTCAGCTTCTTAATTGTTCGTAGCTGCTGTAATTTCTATTTTTCCCAGATACTTCCCAATTTTACAATTCTGAAATGAAACTCAAATGCTTTTCCAGGCTCAGTAGATTAAAATTATATGATACTTTGTTTTTCTCTTTTCCTGGACCTAAATAAGCTTCTATCAGTGTTATTTAAAGTGAAATATGTAATATTTATATCCACCTTCTTGTGAAACCATTAATAAATCTGTTATGTGCTTAAAGAAATTGTAGCAGATTGAATAAATGTAAATCCTATTTAGTGGAAGTTGTGATTTTCAGTAATTTATTGAATCAAACATGACACCTGCTTTATAAAATATAATCTGTATTCTAAGAAACAGAAACTTAATATTTCTGACTTAAGACCATTAAAAAATCATGTTATTTCCTGATTAACCTTTGTTGAATGGATGGCAACTACCTGTTGTAGAAACACAAGTGTAGAGAACAACGTTTTGAAAGTCTTCAGGAGACGAAAGGTGGAAGACTATCAAAATGTCATCCTCTACACTTGTGTTTCTACAACAGGCAGTTGCCATCCATTCAACAAAGGTTCATCATGAATACTCTGCCTAAAGAGTCTATCAAAGAATACATGTTATCTCCTGTTTTGAAATTTAATTAAGCTTCCTGTAAATTACAGTGGTTTCATATTCTCACCTGAATATCTTGTAACCGAGCTTCATGATCTTTTCTTTTAGTCATAATATCATGCCACTTGTTTTGTGCCTCTAGGGTATTGATGAAAGCTATTTCATTAACCTGTAGCAATAAATAATACTGTTATAACCTCTACTTCTAATCCAATTGTTTCAAGAAGCCACACTGCTTAGCCAGAAGTAGTTTAATGTTCAGTGATGGGTGTGATCTTAGTGTATAGAGCTTTCTCCATAGTTTAGGAAAACTTTGAGCCTTATAAAAAGTGACTTTAGCTGAGGTTAGTCACTGAATTTGTTGGACTGAGTTAATGAGTCTGTTAGTCAGTATATGAGATGACTTTAATGGACTGCTGCAAGACTATATTTTGGCTTCTATACCAAGCTTTAGGTTGAAGTTTACAAGTAATCAGAGCATGATATAATCAGCCAGTTATTTAGTTCTGGGCTATGAAATATTTACTTTGAGTTTCAATGAAGAAATAGAAAAATTAAATTACCAAGTAAGTGGAATTTTTTTTAGAAATAGTTATTTTTGAAGTTATTCCTATTTGTAAATGTCAAATACAACAGCTGTGGAATTGAAGTTGAAGAAATAAAACATCTTTGTTATCATTGAGCAGACTGCACTTTACATTATTCATTTTACCAAATAATCTAAAAGAACCAAACCAACAACAAAAATCATTACATCAATACTAAAGTGATCAGTAAAAAGTAGATAAATAAAATACTTGAAATTATTACATTACAAAACTAATCATGTTTATAAATATTCACCACAGTATCTTAAAAAAAGCTCCAGGTTATTTGTAAGAATATCCAAAATAAACCATTTCAAATTAAGATATACCAAAAATAAATCAGAACACATCTTTTTTTTTTACAGTAAATTTTATACCTTCAAGCAAATAATATATTTATTTTAGTGATTTTTATTGAAAAGTTAAAAGATCAAATGACAACAGTATCTAACACTTGATAACCCTACCAGTCAAATAATTCAGATATTCAATTAAAACATCTCAAACTAATTGAAATCACTTTAGGATATATAACAAAAAAAAGGGGATGAAAAGTAAAATAGTAAAGAAAACAAAAAAAAAATTATCTTGACCATTCACATGACTAGTTTACAGATTCAATACTGAATTTAATGTTACGTTCTTCTGACCATTCACGTGACTAGTTTTTTAGATTCAGTACTAAGTTCAAAGTTACCTTCTGACCATCCACATGATTATATTTTAGATTCAATAGCGAATTAAAATTTATCTCTCTTGACCATTCATTTGTTTGTTCATGTTGTGATGATGTCAGTCAGAGAGAACAGTTGACAAGGACTGGAGCAGAGAGATGCAGACTTCTCATGACTATTCACTTCACTTGACTAGTTTTTTTATACTTAGTACTTAGTTACCTTTTCTTGATCATTTATCTATTTTTCAGATTCAGTACTGTGCTCAAAGTTACCTTCTCCTGATCATTCACAATTCACATGACTAGTTTTAAATTTAGCACTGAATTCAAGGTTACTGTCTCTTGACAATTCACTAGTTTTTAGATTCAGTACTGTGTCCAAAGTTACCTTCTCCTGACCATTCACATGTCTAGTTTTAAGATTCAGTATTGAATTCAAAGTTACCTGTGTTTCCTCACTTTTAAAGTTTATATATATATATATAAATAAAAACGGATGAACTCACAGCCAGATTTCCATGAATATAAAGCTATACTGTAATGTAGGATGTTTCCAAAATTAATGCGATGTTTGAGAAAACACATGCACAGTAATTTTAATATAGTGGTTACAGCAATATGCAAGATAAATTCACTTAATTGTATCTCTTTAATTACATTCAATCTACAACTATTAACAAATGAAATACACAAGTTGTATATAAGAAACAGTACAATGCAGATACAGATTATAATGCTGAATATTAATTTCTAACTATTCTTGTTTTTTGTTGAAAATATATTAGAAATGTATTTCCAAGAAAAAAAAATTGTCGTAACAGAAATGCATTTTCACTGGAATACAGCAAAATCTAAAAAGTTTTCTGCAGTTGTCTGTTGTTTCTAGTTCAAAGATGTAAGTAACATATAACTATTGCTTATTTAACTTTTGGAGTAAAACCAACCTTTTCTTCTTCATCATGAGCTTTCCGTTTAATCATCTGAAGTTGTATCTTTCGTTTTTGCTCTGCACGCAACAGTTTCTGTTCCATAGTTATCCTTTTCTGCAGCTTCTGTTCTTCTTTCCATGCTTTCATTTCTTCTGCCTGTTAGATTAGTAACACAGTAAGAACTATATTCATTTGGAAATGACTGCACTAAAATAGACTAGGTCTTCCATGTCTTCTTACAGAAAACAACATATTTTTCATATTTAAACATGAAAAAAATGTGTCAAGATGCTAAAAAAAGGTAAAACATAAGAAAAAAATTTAAAAATTATTAGGATACTAACAGAATGTAACTTATTAGCAAATATTTTTCTGCAATGGAAAATCTGCAGTAAATACAGCATTCTGGACAAACAAAATATACAGGTTGTAGATTCTTACATTAAACCATGTTAACAGTGTTTTCTGTTCCACCTTCTCAAATGTGGACAACCGATTTTTGAATCTCACAACAAAAACTACAAAATCACAAAGTTTCAAATAAATCTGATATTTTCAAAGGATTTTTGGTAATTCATAATATTGAACTTCCTTCAAAAGTACCTTTAATACGTGAAAATGAAATGTATATATACAAATTTTCAAATTTATTATCTAAGTCTGTAATTGAAATTTTTTATTTATAAATATTTATATAACTATATGACGAACTCAAGTTGAAACACTTCAAAACTCGTATTTCTAGCAAAAATGTGATTATACCAATTTTACATTCTGTAAAATTACTAAAATATATTTTGCAACCAAATAAAATTCTGAATCACAATAGCCCTTAAAATTAAGTTATATTGTTTTTCTGATAAAAATTATTTGAATATTATAATATTTTTTATAAAGATTAGTTAAGTAATATTACTTTCTTGACTATATCTTTAAATTTATGAGCTCTTTCTTCTAAGAACTTTTCTCTTTGTTCTTGAGCTTTAGCCAACCTCTCTTCATGACGCCGAATGGTTTCAGAACGGGACCTACAGTTCAAAAATAAAAAAATATGAGATTATAACTGAGTTGTTAACAAAGTATAGTGCTTGCAGAACAATAGTTACCACATTAAAAATATTGGGTTATTTATTTATACATCAGATGTTTTAAACCACATTTGACAAGGTATGTCTATACACCAAATGTTTGTTTTTTACCTGAAAATGTATTTCCAATAGATACTCAACCCTGCACAGTTCAGCTAGCTTCATATGTTCTTTTAATTGTTCTACCAAAGATACTTGCATGCCACTAGGCTTGTGAAAACTCCCACCTAATTTCACATGAATTTGTACCACTGCACAATGGTATAATCATGCAGCTAAAGCCCTCCACCAATAGGGGTGACACACTTCCATGCACATTAACTCCCCCCTATGCATTTTGCTCTTGTGAATCTTCATTCTTCAGTGACTTAAGTAAAAGTGTACCAGAAGTGGGGAGGATAGGTGGGAATGTGTGAAAGGTGAATATCTATCAAAGGAGTACACTTTCAGGTAAGGATAATGTTAATTTCCAAAAGGAATACTCACCTCCAAACACAGTTTAACTAGAACCCCACATTAAGATGGTGGAGGAGCCCCCTTCAGAGAGCATCCAAAGGAAGCCCATGGGGTGTAACATATAATGGCAGGGGCTCCATAGGGGCACACCTGTGGGAAGCTGTATATCAACTCATTCAGGGTACACTCTTTGCCTGTTTAACATCCAACATAACATAATTTTTAGGGACAACAAGGAATCTAGTGGTCCATCTGAGCTGTCCAATTTTCTAAACTAAACTAAATCTATTAAGTAAAAAATTAAGTAAACCTCAAGCCAGCCATTATCATTCATAAAGTTATGAAGCTTTCTCTTAAATTTACTGCCTCAACAACATCCAAAGGCCAACCACCCTGTTAAAAAAATAAAACTGTCTTAGCTGAAGATGACTCCTACTCTGCCAAAATTTATATTTGTGTCCCATAGTCCTACCTTTCTAATCATTACATATGAAAAAAGATGATGCATCAACACTATCAATTCTCTGAACAATCTTTAACACCTCATTCAGATCCCCTCTAACTGTCCAAAGGAAAATTTCAGAGATCTTAACCTCTCCTCATATGACAACCCCCTACATCCCAGGCCCCATTCTGGTAGCCCATCTCTGAACCATTTCCAACAATTCAATGTCCTTTCGGATGTAAAGAGCCAAAGACTGAACAAACTACTCTAAATGTGGCCTAACCAGCAACCTATACAATGAAATTATAATCTCTTTAGACTTGTATTCAATGTTTCTGTAGATACAACCTAAAATCCTATTTTCCCCACCACTAGCAACAGCACATCACTTGGATAGATTAAGAGACTGATCAACTACTACACCAAAATCCCTTTCTTTCATAACACTGTTAAGATTATTTCCATCCAAATTATACTTGTAATTCAAATTATGATAACCCACATATTGCATTTATTATAATTCAAACCCATACGCCATTTATTCACCCATCTCACTAAATGATCTAAATCCTTTTGGAAGGCAGCAGCATTCTCCTCAAAAACCAACAAAACCCAAGTTCTTAATATCATCAGCAAATTTAAGTAAATTATTAACCATTGATTTAAATCAAAAACAGCAAAGGTCCTAAGACTGAGCCCTGAGCCACATTAATCCAGTTTGACTGAACTCCATTTATAACAACCTTCTGTTTTCTTCATCCAGTCACTCTTCTATCCAATTAACTAACTTATCCCCATACCTATATAGATAAATTTTTAACACGCCTTTTATGTGGCACCTTGTCATATACTTTCCAAAAATCCAGATACACCAAATCTACACCCTTACCCTCATTAACATAAGCAGTAACCTTTTCAAAGAATGTCAAAAGCTTTGTAAGGCAAGATTTTCCCATAGTGAAACCATGTTGACTATCCAATAAAATTCTAAACTTTGTTAAATGACTTTGAAAAGCACCTTTTATCAGACTTTCCAAAACTTTTCCCACAACTGATGTAAGACTAATAGGCCTATAATTACTGGGACAATTTTTATTACCTCCTTTGAAAACAGGAATAACATTAGCCAACTTCCAATCCTCTGACACCTGCCCACTATTCAAGTACTTACCAAAAATAGTATCAAGTGGCTCACATATCCAATCCTTAACCTTCTTCAAAACCCTTGGGGAAATATTATCTAGCCAAGTAGATTTATCATTCTTTAAACTTCCCAATTTTTTCATAACAGGCATAGAAATAATGTGACCATCTTGTTTCCATCAATGAACTGTTCAAGATGAAGAGTATTGCTTAAATCTGCAATAGTAAAAACTGAAGCAAAAGCAGAATCTAATAACCTAGCCATCTCATAATCATCAGATACAAGCCTTCCTTTATCATCCCTCAAAGTTCTTACCCCATCCTAACATTTTGTTTACCCTCAATGTATTTAAAGAAATCTTTACTCTTAATTTTTAGTTTATCATGATCCTTGTAAACAAGCCAGCCCCTACTATGTTTAAATGTAAGCCATACATTCCAAAAAACTCCCTTTTCCCATTAAACTGATCCCACAAGTTCAACCAGCCAATATGCTCATCCTTACATATTAACCTAAGCCAAGCATTCAGCCCTAGTGACTTACTTATAATTTTATCTACACAATTAATTCTCAGCAGTATCCTTGGCACAATTAAGTTATGGCCCTTTTCTTTAAATTCCTTTATCAACTCCTTGTACTTATCAATTTGCTCCTCTGACATAAAGTTTCGTACATCAGTAGTCCCTATATGCACAACAAAAACTGAATCATTGCTAGTCCCCTTTACCATATCTCTTGCCTCTATCAGTTATATTTTCCACCTGTGCCCCAGGGTAGCATAATCTAATTCTTTTCTCCCTAATTACCCCACAGACTACTCTATCCTATAGAAAAGAAGAAAGGCAAGGCAAGTAAGCCAGATTTGTGTCGCTTAGATGAGTAGATCAGTACATGATCGTCCAAGTACATGCACACAAGATCTTGAACAGCCAACATGTGTAGTCACCTCCTCTACATCAGACTGAACAGGTCAAAACAAGTTGTGGGAGAAGGGCACTTGTGATAAATATCCATGCATCAGTCTCTACAGCCCATGCCAACTGCAGGAAGAGGGAACTGTATGATTTTGTTATAATATGGATACTTATATACCCTCCTTGACCCTCAGTCTCTAATGTCTCCTTATCAGCTGCAGGAGTAGGGTATGTGAGAGAGATATCACTGGTATATATATGATGTGTTCATCTCAATTGTACTGTCTGTCTGTACAGCCCCATGCTAGCTGCAGGAAGAGGGCACTGGATTATGTTATTACAGTATGGATACATTTGTACACTTCTACTTGACCATCAGTCTTTATGGGCACCTTGCCAACTGCAAGAGTAGGGTATGTTTGAGGTGTAGTAGGGACCAGTAAGTGTGTTCACCTTGAGTCAATTGAACAGATACTGGTTGCAGAAGGAGGGGTGTGTGAGATTTAGGTACTGAATGGATTGGTAGAGTGAGTTGTATCATCAGCCCATATGTAGTTTGTGATGTATACTGTATCATAAATATATATGTGGGGTGATATACTCTTGGTGTCATCACAGCCATACTTCTCACCATAATGTGATCCCTTGTTTAGAGAGGATTCTCCATGATCCACCACCCCTGCAGCTTGAGGGGTGGAGAAATTGCCTAGGGGGAATCCCAGAGAATGTGCCCAGATCCTCATAGGTCCTTCAGTAAAAAAAACAAGCAAGAAAAGGTGTTTTACTGAATACAGTGTAATGGGTGATGAAAAACCCTATTTTTAAAAGCCAGTAAGTATAATCCAGAGAAGTGAGAAGAAACACTGATCTGATGTTGGCATTTTCCATGACATTCCATGGAATAGGTATGGTCTGGATTGGACAAGAAATGTGATATAGATATAAATATATATATACCACGAGAAAACCTTAAGTGGTCTTGCACAATACCCCACCTCACATTGGGCACATGTAGAGCCAGAGTGGATGGTACGAGTGCTTTTTGTTATCCTGATTTGATGCATATTTTGGATAAGTATACCCTGAGATGCAACACTAATCACCTGGTGGAATGCCATTGAATGAAAGAGGAGTCCTGAAAGAAAAATGATTCATATTCTGCTCAAAGCCAGTGAAACAATGTAAGAATGGTGACATGTGGAAGCCAAAAATCATCAAGAGATAAAACAGCCAGAAGATATAGAGATGGATTCATGAAAAATTCCACATGCCTGCTTGAAAAAGCTTGTCCAATGGCTGGGAAAGAAGAGGTGGAAGAGAGTGAAAAGGATAAAGAATAGAATGTGAGCATCTACAGCCTGAGATAATCATTTCAACAGAGGAGTCAATGGGCCCATTTCGGAAAGGAAAAAGGAACAAGGTTCATGAAAAATCAGAGTCCCAGGATAGGGACAGAAGAAAACAGGGATCCTTAAAGTAAGAGGTCTGTGATAAAGCACACAATATTGTCCAACAGTGCCAAATGCCTCGTCATCTAATTAGTGATGCTTTCAAATTCGATGACGAGGAACCCACTTTGAGACTAA